AAACCCCATCTCTACTAAAAGTACAAAAAAAAAAAAATAACTGGGCATGGTGGTGCACACCTGTGATCTCAGCTACTCGGGAGGCTGAGGCAGGAGAATCGCTTTAACCTGGGAGGAGACTGTAGTGAGCCAAGATCGCGCCATTGCACTCCATCTTGGGCCACAGAGCAAAACTCCGTCTCAAAAAAATCTCTCTGCTTTCCAGCACAAGGAAAGTGTCGGGGGCATCGATCTAACCTAGGCAAGCCTGTCTGCAGGTAGCCTTGAGAGATGAATTGGCATGAGCAGTCCCATAAGAACTTAGCAAAGGGTGACCTTGGCTGCACAGGGTGTTGTATTTGGCCCTTCCACATCTGTGACCTGCAGGGGTTGGTGTAAGTGGCAGGATGGTGTTCCTTATCACTCCAGCTTCTACCAAGAAATTATACATTTCAGCAGCCCCTCCCAAATGTCAGAGTGGGAGACTAGTCCCATACCTCAGACCCTGGGCTATATAAGGTGTGCCCTGGAGGCTTTAGGGTCCAGTCACCTCATAGAATCTTGAAAAGCATTAAAACATAATCCGAAATAATAATGAACCAAACTAGGAAGAGCTTGGAACTATGTATTTATGAACCTATGTCGCTTCTCCTAGTAGATCAAGGGCAGTTCACTTGAGTACATGGACTTCCTTCTGGGGAGCTTGTGATTTCCTGAAATTATCTGGAATATTTTTTCTGTGAAAGTATTTTCCTAGGAGTCTGCAACTTGTATTAGATTTCTGAGGCTTTTGTGACCTCTAAAGGGTTATTTATTCTGCATCATAAGCTTTTTGGAGACAGGGACTTTTGTCTGGCTCTCTGCATCTCAGAAGCATGCAGCAGCACACGGATCTTGTACAGTGTTTAGTAAATGATGGTCAATTGAATGAACTGAGAGTCACTCAAGGCTACTCTTTCTCAACTGTATTATTTGGGAAGTACTTAAGTGTGGAACGCTTCTGTTTCTATTATATATGAAAATTGCTTAAACTGGGAGGTTTTGAGCACTGGAGTAGAACTCCACGTTTCTTTTGTTATGCATGAGACCTGTTTGTTAGGAATATGTCAGAGCCACTGTTTGCTTCCAAATTTTCTGCACTCCAGTCAGCTGATGGTTTCTTCGCAAGTTTCCATGAAACCTACAAGTACTCTGGGAGGAAGGTAGCTGAACTGGCTCAGAAGGTTTGGGAGGAAAACGTGGTGTCTAGAAGATCACCATGGAACTGCCTTTTGCATGGCAGAGGCCAGCCTTGAGACCCAAATGTTGTAATGGCTGTAATCAATTGAATTTTCTTAACCAGAAAAACTTTTGTCTTCTTGTTACTTCTCAGGTTTATTAGTGAATAGAGTGGGGAATATAATTTAATATATTAAATGTTTATTGATGTATGGATCATTGGAATAATCAGTGTGGATGGTACGTTCAATGTAGAAAGTGTAGGTGTTTGGGCTGATGTATACTGTCATCTGGCCAAACCTTAGAACTTTTTTTTGTTTGGCTTTTGAGTCCATAGCTGGAAGTATGGACATTGTAGGATTGTGGCCAGAGATAGAGAGAAGAGGAGAAGGGGAGAAGGAAGAGAGAGAAAGCATGTATATTGTTCTGCAGGATAATTGGTGGTAGGACCAGTTATTTGAGGGCCTTTGAAGTCTGGCACACTTGGCATGACCCTGGTTATGCTACAACCAGGTTTTGTCTTCTCATAAACCTACATGTTTCAGTGTTCCTGGCAAAAGGGAAGTGAGTCATTACCTGTGCTCAGCACAACTGGGATTGATTGATTGATTGATTGGAGACAGAATCTCACTCTGTTGCCCAGGCTGGAGTGCAGTGGCGCAATCTCAGCTCACTGCAACCTCTGCCTCTGGGGTTCAAGCAATTCTCTTGTCTCAGCCTCTCAAGTAACTAGGACTACAGGAATGTGCCACCACGCCTGGCTAATTTTTGTATTTATAGTAGAGATGGGGTTTCACCATGTTGGTCAGGCTGGTCTTGAACTCCTGATCTCAAGTGATTCACCCGCCTCAGCCTCCCAAAGTGCTGGGATTACAGGCGTGAGCCACCGCACCTGGCTGACAGCTGGGTTATTACTTTCCCATTTTCAGCTATCCATTAGAGACTATGGCTGGGACAGTCTGAATTCCATGCAGTTTAGTGGCCAGATATGATTGGAAAACAAAGGGGGTGCCAAGGCAAGTGTTGAAGGAAGTCTGCCTTTGGATATATATATCACCTCAGTGAGCAGAAGGACTTCTCAGTGTGCTCTGTTGATAGGATCATGTTTATGGCTCTTCAAGATGAAGCATGAAAGCTTTGAGTAAAAAGCTTTGGAAGCTGGTAGGAGAGGGAAGAGTGGGGCAAAGGCATGGGAACGTTAGTGTCTGACTGACATGGGGCCCTCCAGTAGCCTGTGTAGCAAGGCCGCTTCCATTCTCAACCTCTGTTCAGACACATGTGCAGACCCCACCTGCATTTCCAGATCCTTGGGATTCTCTTTAGGGATCTTCCTGTTTGCCTCCTGGGAATTTCTTGCCCATCAAAATTTCATGTACCAACCCCCACTTTTTTTCAGGGAGAGTTTGGGTACACTATAGATGAGAAGATGCAGGTGGATAAAAGTAGTTACTTAAACACATATGGGGCAAGACTTACAGGTTTGGAGGCCCAGATTAAGATGCAGAGGAGCATGTGAGGTTGATGATTATATTTCGGGGAGAGTTAATTGATGGAAGGTGAAGGCAGACAAAGAACCGCTGCTTACTGCCTTCTTGAATCCCAATCAGGAATTATGATTAAAGTCGCAGCGAGACAACAGAGGGCTGATGAATTGGTGTCTTTTTTTTTTTTTTTCTTTTTTGCCGTCATTCACACTTGATTGACTTCAACCTTTCAAGTGCAAAAGTCTCTCTTTTCCATTATTATTCATAGCCATCTGAGTTTTTCTAATTAAAGTGTATGAAAACAATTACTGATCCGTCGTACTGAGTCTGTTAGAGGGGATGTCTGCCTTACTGTAATGCGTATGAAAAGCCCACAGTTTTCTATAATGATGTGCAGCTGAGGTGTTAGATAATTTTATTCTTTTTTACTCTGTAGGGCTTTTTTTTTATTTCTCATGATTCATTTTTCATAATTCCTAAAGATCCCAGGAAAGGACTGATCCTGCAGCTACAACCGAGAAAGGAGGTGGGGGGGAGTCTTTTTTCCTTTCCCTTTCTCCCCCTCTTACCCCCAACCTCGTGCTCCCCCTCGGCTGAGGACTGTAAATTAATCGGTGACCTTTCACTTCTCGGATTCCCGCTGGACTCCCCAACCACACTGGTCAGAAATGCCTTCTATTAAAAAGAAAATAGATGGAATGAGTTTGGCAATCTGTACTCCATTCCTAACGGTTCATCAACAGCTAGCCTTAACCAGCTGCCGATGAGCTTTGTGTGAGGTGCAGATGTCTGTGGAGGCAAGAATGCTATGTCACACACATTCACCTGCCATGCACCTGCTCTTCGTAAACACAGCATTTCTCAGAATGCTTCTCCATAGTGCCTGTTGCTTACTTTTTGCACCCGCTGGCACCTGGGTTGCTGAAATGATTCTAATACCCCTAGGGGTGATGTGGAGTTATGTTGATGGGGGTGGCTGTCTGGGTTTCCTCTAGTTGTCAAGCCTATTGCTGATGATTCCAGTGGACATTTCAGTAGCTATTTTGAGCAAGGCTGGGATCTTCACAACCATTAAAAATTAATAGTAATGTATTTAAAATATTTAATTTTGAATAAAAATCTAAGTATTCCAATCTTTGCAACAGATAGTGAAGATGTCTGTGCAGTACGGTTGTGTTTGATGGAAAAATAATGTCTCCAACTGGGGCTGGGCACCATGTAGAAAGGTTAGTGGTGACTGTAGTTTCTGGTCCTGTAGCTTCTAGGTCAGTCCATTTCTCTGGCTATCATCAAATGGGAGGCGGTTTCTAATTCATTTGCAGTATCATCGCCACCTACCCTTCCCACCCCATATCAGGCAAAGGAATATTGCTTCTTTTTGAATGAAGAACCTTTAATTTTTCCATTGGATATCGAGGGCTGCTTATCACATTAACATAGGGCAAATGATAACTTGTTTGGACAGGCTTCTGGCCGTATGGCAGGGAGACCTAGAGAAATACCTGAGGCTTTACCCAAAAGTTGCAGCTGTTTGGATCCAGGCAATTTCCAGAATTGCTGTATTGAGAACAAATGACCATGGTCAAGGTGGGGCTTCCCTGTTGCAGAATGCTGTGCAGGCCACCCTCTATGGCTGGGACATTGGTCAGAGGTTCCCTCTGATGTTGCATACCTTGGGCAGAGACTCCAGAAGAAATCGTGGCTTAAGTGAGTCACAAAAAAAGGCTTGTTTGTGCTTGATGTCAGCTTGTAAAGGGTTACAAATGTTTCCTGGAAAATCTGCCAGCATGTCTGCGTGTCCTTAGCCTTCCCTTTGTTCTCTTCTTTTCTTCTTACCCTTTCCTTCACTCTTACTCCCCTCCTCCTCTTGCCTGAATACATTTTGAAAACAGTACTACAATGCTCCCTGCTTCAAGATTACAGTGTACTTTACTAGGTATGATTTAATTAGGGCCCTTATTATGTTTTCAGCAGCTTAAGGTGGGCCTTTCAACTTATCTACCTAATTGGTTGCACAAGAAGTTTCACAGCCCATGACAAAACATTGTCAGTGATCAAAGTCAAAATTCTGCATAAAGGAAAAATATTAATAATAAGATTATTCTTCAAGTGTGCACTGCTAATTATGTCCAGAATGTAACCGTAGAAACACTTTTGACTGATGTGAGCTTTGTCTAATAAACATGAATCTTCAGTGAGCTATGAAAAGTGAGACACCTCTAGCTTTTCTGAAGGCTAATTTTGCTTATTAAATACTTTTTAAACATTTCCTATTTTGTGTTGCTTTCCTCTCCATTTGACTCGCCTTGCTCTTCTCAGGTGACCACCCCTGAGATGGTGATGCCCAGCAGCATGTTCCTCCCAGCAGCTGTTCCAGATCGAGATGGGAATTCCAATTTGGAAGAGGCAGGAAAGCAGCCTGGTCAGTATCATTATAATTGAAACAAGATAGAATGCCAAAATGTTCATGGAGAAAGGCTTTCAGGAATTCTTTACAATACTCTTAAGGTGAATGTAACTGATCAGGAGATGAGGGGCACTGTCAGTAGCTACTTTATACTCTGGTTCTTGGCATGTATTTGTATATTACTCACATGGTTTAAAGTGAGAGAAAATCAGTATGAGAACCAGTGGAAGTCTGGCAGACACACGCGTTCCCTTAAACTATACAATTAGGGAGTGAATAAGCAGAGACTCAGTCAGTAGGCCCCACCGTCGTAAGCCATTAAACACTGTATTTCTGAGGACTTAATTAGTAGGGACTTGTGGGTTGATTTTTAGGTACACTGGATTAGTTGTCTTTCGTTCTGAGTTTTCTGGGATTGGCTTAGGATGAAGCACAGAGGTGCCTTTGGAAAGAACACTGCTGTAGACATGTATGCTGCAATAGTTGGTGCCACATAGTGTTTCCTGGCTAGATGGATGGTTAGACCTCTGTGAGGCTGTCCTACATCTTTCACTTCTAAGGTGGGAAGAGTTCTAAGTTGGGAAGAGTTGGCCACACTACTGCCCCGCCTCCTCTCTTTCTTGTGAGTTTTCCATATCAGACAATGGACAAATGACCTGATAAAGGGTCTCGGTATTTATAGGTGTGATGATCTCGTTGTAGGAAAAAAAAATGTATTTTAAATAATTGAACACTTGAATGTTCATTGCTTATTGAATAGAGATGGCAATCAGAAGTCACATTATAATAAGAAATTAAATGCCTACAAATATGTATCCTCAAATTTCTTATATTACAATGTTCAGCAGTTCTTGTAAATTCCTCACAACTTAGGACAGCATTAATTCACATATTCTACACTTCAGATCTACTGTGCTAAATTCTTATTACATAAAAGATGAACATAAAAGGGAAATCCAGTCTAAGATCAGTAACCTTCAAACTAGTTCTTGAGAAATTGAGGATTCTGAGTCAAGCAATTAAATGCTATTTAAAAGACTGTTAGATCTGTGATATGACATGGGTCTATTATGCATTGAAACTTTTTGTATTTCCTTTTATTCATCTCTGTTCATGTGCACCCTGTTTATAATATGTGCTCTATTGGAGGAACAAAAGAAAGCAGGAGGTGCTCCGCAGAGATTCTGTCATTCAGGTTGGGCACTTCCCTCATCATCAGATTCTGTGTTCATGAGGCCTGACTAGGTAGACTGCTCTGGGTGTCATCCTTGAAACAAAGCCTTCTTTATCTTTGGGTTTAATTTATTTTTTTTTTTTAAACAGAAACCTCAGAGGATCTGGGAAAGAACATCTTGCCGTCCGCAAGCACAGAGCAAAGCGGAGATTTGAAACCCTCCCCTGCTGACCCAGGCTCTGTGAGAGAAGACTCAGGCTTCCTCTGCTGGAAGAAGGGGTGCAACCAGGTTTTCAAAACTTCTGCTGCCCTTCAGACGCATTTCAATGAAGTGCATGCCAAGAGGCCTCAGCTGCCGGTGTCAGATCGCCATGTGTACAAGTACCGCTGTAATCAGTGCAGCCTGGCCTTCAAGACCATTGAAAAGTTGCAGCTCCATTCTCAGTACCATGTGATCAGAGCTGCCACCATGTGCTGTCTTTGTCAGCGCAGTTTCCGAACTTTCCAGGCTCTAAAGAAGCACCTCGAGACAAGCCACCTGGAGCTGAGTGAGGCTGACATCCAACAGCTTTATGGTGGCCTTCTGGCCAATGGGGACCTCCTGGCAATGGGAGACCCCACCCTGGCTGAGGACCATACCATAATTGTTGAGGAAGACAAGGAGGAAGAGAGTGACTTGGAAGATAAACAGAGCCCTACAGGCAGTGACTCTGGGTCAGTACAAGAAGACTCGGGCTCAGAGCCAAAGAGAGCTCTGCCTTTCAGAAAAGGTCCCAATTTTACTATGGAAAAATTCCTAGACCCTTCTCGCCCTTACAAGTGTACCGTCTGCAAGGAATCATTCACTCAGAAGAATATCCTGCTAGTACACTACAATTCTGTCTCCCACCTGCATAAGTTAAAGAGAGCCCTTCAAGAATCAGCAACCGGTCAGCCAGAACCCACCAGCAGCCCGGACAACAAACCTTTTAAGTGTAACACTTGTAATGTGGCCTACAGCCAGAGTTCCACTCTGGAGATCCATATGAGGTCTGTGTTACATCAAACCAAGGCCCGGGCAGCCAAGCTGGAGGCTGCAAGTGGCAGCAGCAATGGGACTGGGAATAACAGCAGTATCTCCTTGAGCTCCTCCACATCAAGTCCTGTGAGCACCAGTGGCAGTAACACCTTTACCACCTCCAATCCAAGCAGTGCTGGCATTGCTCCAAGCTCTAACTTACTGAGCCAAGTGCCCACTGAGAGTGTAGGGATGCCACCCCTGGGGAATCCTATCGGTGCCAACATCGCTTCCCCTTCAGAGCCCAAGGAGGCCAATCGGAAGAAACTGGCAGATATGATTGCATCCAGGCAGCAGCAACAACAGCAGCAGCAACAGCAACAACAAGCACAAACACTGGCCCAGGCCCAGGCTCAAGTTCAAGCTCACCTGCAGCAGGAGCTGCAGCAACAGGCTGCCCTGCTCCAGTCTCAGCTGTTTAACCCCACCCTCCTTCCTCACTTCCCCATGACGACTGAGACCCTGCTGCAACTACAGCAGCAGCAGCACCTCCTCTTCCCTTTCTACATCCCCAGTGCTGAGTTCCAGCTTAACCCCGAGGTGACCTTGCCAGTGACCAGCGGGGCACTGACGCTGACTGGGACAGGCCCAGGCCTGCTGGAAGATCTGAAGGCTCAGGTTCAGGTCCCACAGCAGAGCCATCAGCAGATCTTGCCGCAGCAGCAGCAGAACCAACTCTCTATAGCCCAGAGTCACTCTGCCCTCCTTCAGCCAAGCCAGCACCCCGAAAAGAAGAACAAATTGGTCATCAAAGAAAAGGAAAAAGAAAGCCAGAGAGAGCGGGACAGTGCTGAGGCGGGAGAGGGCAACACCGGTCTGAAGGAAACACTGCCAGACGCCTTGAAGGCCAAAGAGAAGAAAGAGCTGGCACCAGGGGGTAGTTCTGAGCCTTCCATGCTCCCTCCACGCATTGCTTCAGATGCCAGAGGGAATGCCACCAAGGCCCTGCTGGAGAACTTTGGCTTTGAGTTGGTCATTCAGTATAATGAGAACAAGCAGAAGGTGCAGAAAAAGAATGGGAAGACTGACCAGGGAGAGAACCTGGAAAAGCTCGAGTGTGACTCCTGCGGCAAGTTGTTTTCCAACATCTTGATTTTAAAGAGTCATCAAGAGCACGTTCACCAGAATTACTTTCCCTTCAAACAGCTTGAGAGGTTTGCCAAACAGTACAGAGACCACTATGATAAACTGTACCCACTGAGGCCTCAGACCCCAGAGCCACCACCACCTCCCCCTCCACCCCCTCCACCCCCACTTCCGGCAGCGCCGCCTCAGCCGGCGTCCACGCCAGCCATCCCCGCATCAGCCCCACCCATCACCTCACCTACGATTGCACCGGCCCAGCCATCAGTGCCGCTCACCCAGCTCTCCATGCCCATGGAGCTGCCCATCTTCTCGCCGCTGATGATGCAGACGATGCCATTGCAGACCTTGCCAGCTCAGCTACCCCCACAGCTGGGACCTGTGGAGCCTCTGCCTGCGGACTTGGCCCAACTGTACCAGCATCAGCTCAATCCAACCCTGCTCCAGCAGCAGAACAAGAGGCCTCGCACCAGGATCACGGATGATCAGCTCCGAGTCTTGCGGCAATATTTTGACATTAACAACTCCCCCAGTGAAGAGCAAATCAAAGAGATGGCAGACAAGTCTGGGTTGCCCCAGAAAGTGATCAAGCACTGGTTCAGGAACACCCTCTTCAAAGAGAGGCAGCGTAACAAGGACTCCCCTTACAACTTCAGTAATCCTCCTATCACCAGCCTGGAGGAGCTCAAGATTGACTCCCGGCCCCCTTCGCCGGAACCTCCGAAGCAGGAGTACTGGGGAAGCAAGAGGTCTTCAAGAACAAGGTTTACAGACTACCAGCTGAGGGTCTTACAGGACTTCTTTGATGCTAATGCTTACCCAAAGGATGATGAATTTGAGCAACTCTCTAATTTACTGAACCTTCCAACCCGAGTCATAGTGGTATGGTTTCAGAATGCCCGACAGAAGGCCAGGAAGAATTATGAGAATCAGGGAGAGGGCAAAGATGGAGAGCGGCGTGAGCTTACAAACGATAGATACATTCGAACAAGCAACTTGAACTACCAGTGCAAAAAATGTAGCCTGGTGTTTCAGCGCATCTTTGATCTCATCAAGCACCAGAAGAAGCTGTGTTACAAGGATGAGGATGAAGAGGGGCAGGACGACAGCCAAAATGAGGATTCCATGGATGCCATGGAAATCCTGACGCCTACCAGCTCATCCTGCAGTACCCCGATGCCCTCACAGGCTTACAGTGCCCCAGCACCATCAGCCAATAATACAGCTACCTCCGCTTTCTTGCAGCTTACAGCAGAGGCTGAGGAACTGGCCACCTTCAATTCAAAAACAGAGGCAGGCGATGAGAAACCAAAGCTGGCGGAAGCTCCCAGTGCACAGCCAAACCAAACCCAAGAAAAGCAAGGACAACCAAAGCCAGAGCTGCAGCAGCAAGAGCAGCCCGAGCAGAAGACCAACACCCCCCAGCAGAAGCTCCCCCAGTTGGCGTCCCTGCCTTCGTTGCCACAGCCTCCTCCGCAAGCGCCCCCTCCACAGTGCCCCTTACCCCAGTCGAGCCCCAGTCCTTCCCAGCTCTCCCACCTGCCCCTCAAGCCCCTCCACACATCAACTCCTCAACAGCTGGCAAACCTACCTCCTCAGCTAATCCCCTACCAGTGTGACCAGTGTAAGTTGGCATTTCCATCATTTGAGCACTGGCAGGAGCATCAGCAGCTCCACTTCCTGAGTGCGCAGAACCAGTTCATCCACCCCCAGTTTTTGGATAGGTCACTGGATATGCCTTTCATGCTCTTTGATCCCAGTAACCCACTCCTGGCCAGCCAGCTGCTCTCTGGGGCCATACCTCAGATTCCAGCAAGCTCGGCCACTTCTCCTTCAACTCCAACCTCCACAATGAACTCTCTCAAGAGGAAGCTGGAGGAAAAGGCCAGTGCAAGCCCTGGTGAAAACGACAGTGGGACGGGAGGAGAAGAGCCTCAGAGAGACAAGCGTTTGAGAACAACCATCACACCAGAACAATTAGAAATCCTCTACCAGAAGTATCTACTGGATTCCAATCCGACTCGAAAGATGTTGGATCACATTGCCCACGAGGTGGGCTTGAAGAAACGTGTGGTGCAAGTCTGGTTTCAGAACACCCGAGCTCGGGAAAGGAAAGGACAGTTCCGGGCTGTAGGCCCAGCGCAGGCCCACAGGAGATGCCCTTTTTGCAGAGCGCTCTTCAAAGCCAAGACTGCTCTCGAGGCTCATATCCGGTCCCGTCACTGGCATGAAGCCAAGAGAGCTGGCTACAACCTAACTCTGTCTGCGATGCTCTTAGACTGTGATGGGGGACTCCAGATGAAAGGAGATATTTTTGATGGAACTAGCTTTTCCCACCTACCCCCAAGCAGTAGTGATGGTCAGGGTGTCCCCCTCTCACCTGTGAGTAAAACCATGGAATTGTCGCCCAGAACCCTTCTAAGCCCTTCCTCCATTAAGGTAGAAGGGATTGAAGACTTTGAAAGCCCCTCCATGTCCTCAGTTAATCTAAACTTTGACCAAACTAAGCTGGACAATGATGACTGTTCCTCTGTGAACACAGCAATCACAGATACCACAACTGGAGACGAGGGCAATGCAGATAATGACAGTGCAACGGGAATAGCAACTGAAACCAAATCCTCTTCTGCACCCAACGAAGGGTTGACCAAAGCGGCCATGATGGCAATGTCCGAGTATGAAGATCGGTTGTCATCTGGTCTGGTCAGCCCAGCCCCAAGCTTTTATAGCAAGGAATATGACAATGAAGGTACAGTGGACTACAGTGAAACCTCAAGCCTTGCAGACCCCTGCTCCCCGAGTCCTGGCGCGAGTGGATCTGCAGGCAAATCTGGTGACAGCGGGGATCGGCCTGGGCAGAAACGTTTTCGCACTCAGATGACCAATCTGCAGCTGAAGGTCCTCAAGTCATGCTTTAATGACTACAGGACACCCACTATGCTAGAATGTGAGGTCCTGGGCAATGACATTGGACTGCCAAAGAGAGTTGTTCAGGTCTGGTTCCAGAATGCCCGGGCAAAAGAAAAGAAGTCCAAGTTAAGCATGGCCAAGCATTTTGGTATAAACCAAACGAGTTACGAGGGACCCAAAACAGAGTGCACTTTGTGTGGCATCAAGTACAGCGCTCGGCTGTCTGTACGTGACCATATCTTTTCCCAACAGCATATCTCCAAAGTTAAAGACACCATTGGAAGCCAGTTGGACAAGGAGAAAGAATACTTTGACCCAGCCACCGTACGTCAGTTGATGGCTCAACAAGAGCTGGACCGGATTAAAAAGGCCAATGAGGTCCTTGGACTGGCAGCTCAGCAGCAAGGGATGTTTGACAACACCCCTCTTCAGGCCCTTAACCTTCCTACAGCGTATCCAGCGCTCCAGGGCATTCCTCCCGTGTTGCTCCCGGGCCTCAACAGCCCCTCCTTGCCAGGCTTTACTCCATCCAACACAGGTGGGTTCTGCTCTAGCAGATTGTTTCAGGGCTAAATAGCTGCCCAGTCAGCATTCTGTTCTGTGGATACCACCCAAACCCTCTAAATGCGGGGCAGATGGGAAGTTTCCCTTTCTAGTTCTTTAAAAGCAACAAGACTTCAGTTCATTCCTGTTGAGTCTCTCAAGTGCTGGTGTGTCAGGGATGGGATCTCCTGGTTGGAACAGTCTCCTTAGAAACCACTCTTATCCCCTATAATAGGGAAAAACTTGAGGGTCCTGGTATACTAATTTCTGGAATATTTCAAGAAACAAGTTTCCATCATAGATCCTTTCATTCAGTCCTTGTGAAGATGCTGATCCTGTCGAGATATTTGTTGTAAATATAAGACACCTGAGTTAGTCCTAACTAATTCTGGATTATGCCCTAAGAAAACTGGTCCAAGAGCATTTAAATCAACTCTTTGCTTTCAACCTAGGGTCCCTGCCTTCTTGAGAGAGCTACAGTGGCAAAAGAACTGCTATTAGGGCCAGGCGCAGTGGTTCATGCCTATAATCCCAGCACTTTGGGAGGCTTAGGCGGGTAGATCACGAGGTCAGGAGATCGAGACCAGCCTGGCCAACATGGTGAGACCTCCGTCTCTACTAAAAATACAAAAATTAGCTGAGTGTGGTGGTATGCACCTGTAGTCCCAGCTACTCGGGAGGCTGGGGCAGGAGAATCACTTGAACCCTGGAGGCAGAGGTTGCAGTGGGCCGAGATTGTGCTACTGCACTCCAGCCTGGCAACAGAGCAAGACTCTGTCTCAAAAAAGAAACAAACAAGAAAAGAACTGCTATCAGAAAGAAGCTCTTATGTGGTAGATCATTAATGTTGGGGTTCTCTTCTAGCCAGAACAATAGTGGCTGTTTCTAACAAGATGACTGTTATACTGGAATGCACTGACCAGGAATCTTGTATTGGGCAACGTGGTTCTGCTAAAATACTGATGCATGTTTCAGAGGTCCTCAGTCACCTCTTTTTTTTCCTTTTGCCCATTTCCCTTTCCTTGCTCCTGATCATTGAGAATCATAAATACTTGGTTGGTGCTCTTATAGTCTCAATAGGGAGTTTTGCAGTTCTTCGTACATACCTCTCATTTTCCCTTCTCTGTCCTCACATCTCTGGATCCAGCCATCTTTGCTAAATTGGACCTTCACCTCCAGGGTCCTGTTAGGCTTAGACACTTTCCCCCACAATGGCCTGAATTGATTAGTTCCCGTTTACCAAAGGAGAACTCCTCCTAATGCTACCTTGCCTTCAAAATGTGTCCCTGTTCCCAGGGGTTAAAGCAGCTGTAATGCTTCCCACAGCAGTCTTAGTTTCTGGTTGAATTAGTTCCACATTTTACACTGTGGGTGGTGTTTTACCAAACATGAGGCTACTGCATTCCTGGTCCCTATTTCTTACTCAGAGAATAAGAAAAGAAAGCATTAAGACATAGAAGTTGTTGCTTATATGTGTTGACAAGTCATGTCACAGAAAGCCAGCTAGACATAAGCCAGGGAACAAACTATGGAAAACAGCACATCACTTAATTACCCCTGCAGCCCAAAACCCTGGCAGAGGGGCTTGGGAAGACTTAACACATCACAGTAATGTGAAAAAAGGAGAATCAGAATGTATGATTTATTCCGCTTGTTTTACAGATTGAGAAATCTGAGGCCTAGAGAGGTCGAGACCATTCAACAAGCTAGGGTAGGAGCTAGAGCTCCCACCTAGGCCTCTGGGCTCCCAGTGCTATGTGCTTCTTCCACAACAACCAATATGAGCCAGTGAGTCAACAGGTATATGTTTAGTGCTACTCAGGTTCTGACCACTTAGAGTGGACTCAAGATAGAAAGATAAGCTGCAGACATGCCCCAGTTATCATCACCTGACCGTAACACAGCTCTCAAGGAACACTGGATCTGGAATGGAGGGGAAGGAACGAATTTGTGTTTATTAAACATCTATTATATGTCAGGCCCAATGCTAAGCTTTTTCTATCAATATGGTCTTTCATTTAATTCTTATAACCATCTATTGTGGAAAGCTGAGGTTCCAAGTGTTCAACTGACAGTCCCAGGGTCACACATCTGATGTGTGTTACCATATCGCACAGGGTCAGTGTGACTCCAGAGCTGTAGGAGTAAGTCTTGGGGGGATGAAGTATCCTGCCAGATTCTGATCTTACAGATCAGAAAAAGGATGTCACAGAGTTGTGAGTGTGTTGAGCTACTGTGTCTAGCATGACTAGTGCAAGGCTTGGTAAATAGTAGAGATTTGTAAACATTTCTTAAAATTTGAACCTGTTATATAGACCATCAGTTGAAGACACACAGTTTAAGGCTTTTTGACAGAATCTCCTAAAAGCCTGGAGCCAAAGGGATGGAGAAATCTCTAGATACTCCTTCCTTGCCCCACTGATCTTTTGGCCCCGGCCCCAAACCTAAAACTTAGCGCAGGATCATTGCCTAGTGGAGACAGAGCCATGTGCCAAGTTTAGAACTCAGAGTCTACTCTCTCTCTGTCTTGTTGTTACCAATTTAACCAATTCTTTACTAAGCTTTTCTGAGTAGAGTCACACATATCTTCCCTGGTGTCTTATGTGCACTGAGGACACTGGATGGTGAGATGCTGAAGGAACCTTCTTCCTTAGCTATCCAGTATTAACAGATGTTTGGGATTGGCAATTTGAAGCAATCTTTTTCTTTCCATCTGAAATATGAGGGTTTTGATGTACCACGATAGCCAGAAATCAGCAGTCTTCCCCCAGGTCTGGGCTTCAGAGTGCTTTTTCTTGCTTTTTTTCCCTCAGTGTCATGTTATGGAAGTCCTTCCCCAGCTTTCTAGCAGAAGGTGATCCAGATGAAATAAGATTGTTCTGATTTTGCATTTTGGTATCCTCTGAAGAGATGTACATACCATCTGGTTTCTTGGATATGGTGAATATAGAGGTGTTCTGAGAGTTGTTGCCTGTGGGATCCTCCTGTCTCTCTGTTTCCTCAGCTTTTCATCATCCAGCACACTCTGCACGCCACCCCCATGCTGTCCTTCCCTACTATCTTGCTAGTTTCAACACACCTGAAGCTTGGAGTAGCATCCACAGCAACAACCTCTTGCATTACCTTGGAACTGATGACTCAAACCAGGAGATAGTTATGGGTCAGAGAAGGTATCAGGCTCTCAGGTCGGTGAAGGCATTGCAGGAAGTGGTGGTAGATTAGGGGTGAGTATGATCAAGGATGGGGCTCTAGTCCATGAGGGCCTGGTGACACGGTCAGAGACCTTTGCTATCCATAGGCAGTGGTGCTTGGGGTAGGTGGTGATGTCTTGGGAATTGGTGTTAGTACCTTGGGCTGTTCCATTTTCTGACATGGCTTTTCTCCTTTTCCTGTGGTTGTTTCTTAACTGTCTGCAGTCCCACTGGCCCTCCTGTGTTATCATTCAAATGGGCAGGAAGAGAAGGTGGTCATTTCTCCACCGGATTCCAGAATCCTATTCCTAGGTGGTTATACTGTTCAGTAGACTTGTTGAAGCAGATCAGCTGGGCCAAGGCACGGAAGCAATTTTCCCTGAATGGATTGTTCTTATTTCTTCCCAGGCCCTTCCTCCACACTTTCCCATTCATCATCTTCTCTCTACCCTCCCAAAGCATCCAGTCAACTGCAGCAACAGAGGTCCGAGAGGAGGAACACATGTAGAGCCCGTTTTGTTTGTTCATGTGGCCGTGCTAGCTTTCTTGCTTTTGTTCTCTTCTCTCTTCTGTTGTCACTCTCCTCCAGATAACTTCTCTGGGGACCTCGTGGCCATACTATTTCTGTGATGAAGGCCTTTGGTGCAAATGGGCCCCAGCTAGAAACAGCTAGCTCTGGGGCCTCTAGACTAATTGCAGTTGGGCAGAGTGAATGGTAGCTGGGAGTGCTTGGCAAAGAAAATGTCAACTAGCAGGTGTGGCACATTGGGCAGGAAGGTGTTGGAAGTTGTTTGGCTGAAAGAGGAAGCATGGGAGCTGACCCAGGACTGAGTCCTCATTAGAATAAAGGTTGTCCAGCCCTGAGCCTGGTGGGATACTTCTGTTGAAAACGTTGGTTTTGAGAGGATCCTTCAAGCCTTGACATCTCAGACTGTGCCAGTGACACTGGTAAAATGTCGTGAGCTTCAGCCCTACCCCTGCCCAGACTGACCGGTGATTTCTGTCTCCATTCCTTTCAGCTTTAACGTCTCCTAAGCCGAACTTGATGGGTCTGCCCAGCACAACTGTTCCTTCCCCTGGTCTCCCCACATCTGGATTACCAAATAAACCGTCCTCAGCATCGCTGAGCTCCCCAACCCCAGCACAAGCCACCATGGCGATGGCCCCTCAGCAACCTCCTCAGCAGCAGCAGCCACAGGTGCAGCAGCCTCCCCCACCGCCAGCAGCCCAGCCGCCACCCACACCGCAGCTCCCACCACAACAGCAGCAGCAACGCAAGGACAAAGACAGTGAGAAAATAAAGGAGAAGGAAAAGGCACACAAAGGGAAAGGGGAACCCCTGCCTGTCCCCAAGAAGGAGAAAGGAGAAGCCCCCACGGCAGCTGCAGCCACGATCTCAGCCCCGCTGCCCACCATGGAGTATGCGGTGGACCCTGCACAGCTGCAGGCCCTGCAGGCAGCCTTGACTTCGGACCCCACAGCATTGCTCACGAGCCAGTTCCTTCCTTACTTTGTACCAGGCTTTTCTCCTTATTATGCTCCCCAGATCCCTGGCGCCCTGCAGAGCGGGTACCTGCAGCCTATGTATGGCATGGAAGGCCTGTTCCCCTACAGCCCTGCACTGTCGCAGGCCCTGATGGGGCTGTCCCCGGGCTCCCTACTGCAGCAGTACCAGCAATACCAGCAGAGTCTGCAGGAGGCAATTCAACAGCAGCAGCAGCGGCAACTACAGCAGCAGCAGCAGCAAAAAGTGCAGCAGCCCAAAGCAAGCCAAACCCCAGTCCCCTCGGGGGCTGCTTCCCCAGACAAAGACCCTGCCAAAGAATCCCCCAAACCAGAAGAACAGAAAAACGCCCCCCGTGAGGTGTCCCCCCTCCTGCCGAAACCCCCTGAAGAGCCAGAAGCAGAAAGCAAAAGTGCGGACTCCCTCTACGACCCCTTCATTGTTCCAAAGGTGCAGTACAAGTTGGTCTGCCGCAAGTGCCAGGCGGGCTTCGGCGACGAGGAGGCGGCGAGGAGCCACCTGAAGTCCCTCTGCTTCTTCGGCCAGTCTGTGGTGAACCTGCAAGAGATGGTGCTTCACGTCCCCACCGGCGGCGGCGGCAGTGGCGGCGGTGGTGGTGGTGGTGGCGGCGGCGGTGGCGGCGGCGGCGGCTCATACCACTGCCTGGCGTGCGAGAGCGCGCTCTGTGGGGAGGAAGCTCTGAGTCAACATCTCGAGTCGGCCTTGCACAAACACAGAACAATCACGAGAGCAGCAAGAAACGCCAAAGAGCACCCTAGTTTATTACCTCACTCTGCCTGCTTCCCCGATCCTAGCACCGCATCTACCTCGCAGTCTGCCGCTCACTCAAACGACAGCCCCCCTCCCCCGTCGGCCGCCACCCCCTCCTCCGCTTCCCCCCACGCCTCCAGGAAGTCTTGGCCGCAAGTGGTCTCCCGGGCTTCGGCAGCGAAGCCCCCTTCTTTTCCTCCTCTCTCCTCATCTTCAACGGTTACCTCAAGTTCATGCAGCACCTCAGGGGTTCAGCCCTCGATGCCAACAGACGACTATTCGGAGGAGTCTGACACGGATCTCAGCCAAAAGTCCGACGGACCGGCGAGCCCGGTGGAGGGTCCCAAAGACCCCAGCTGCCCCAAGGACAGTGGTCTGACCAGTGTAGGAACGGACACCTTCAGATTGTAAGCTTTGAAGATGAACAATACAAACAAATGAATTTAAATACAAAAATTAATAACAAACCAATTTCAGAAATAGACTAACTGCAATTCCAAAGCTTCTAACCAAAAAAAAAAAAAAAAAAAAAAAAAGGAAAAAAAAGAAAAAGCGTGGGTTGTTTTCCCATATACCTATCTATGCCGGTGATTTTACATTCTTGTCTTTTTTTTCTTTTAATATTTAAAAAAAAAAAAAAAAAAAAAAAGCCCTAACCTGTTACATTGTGTCCTTTTGAAGGTACTATTGGTCTGGGAAACAGAAGTCCGCAGGGCCTCCCTAATGTCTTTGGAGCTTAAACCCCTTGTATATTTGCCCCTTTTCAATAAACGCCCCACGCTGATAGCACAGAGGAGCCCGGCATGCACTGTATGGGAAAGCAGTCCACCTTGTTACAGTTTTAAATTTCTTGCTATCTTAGCATTCAGATACCAATGGCTTGCTAAAAGAAAAAAAGAAATGTAATGTCTTTTTATTCTCAGGTCAATCGCTCACACTTTGTTCTGTTTTCAGAATCATTTTTTATATATTATTATTTTTTTCAGTTTTTTTTTTTTTTTTTTGGTTCCAGAAAAGATTTTTTGTTTTGTTAATTTAAAAATGGGCAGAAAGTATTCAAGAAAAACAATGTGAACTGCTTTAGCTTTCTGGGGATTTTTAAGGATAGCTTTTCTGCTGAAGCCAATTTCAAGGGGAAAAGTTAAGCACTCCCACTTTCAGAAAAAAAAAAAAATAACCCACACACACAAAGAGTGTTGAGGACTTGTAGCTTAAAAAAAATAAGTTTTAAAAACTGACTTTCTGTATTTATGATAGATAATGACCATTTTTGGTGTTGAGTAGATTGTTGCATTGGAAATGAACTGAAGCAGTATGGTAGATTTAAAAGGAAAAAAAAAAAAAACCTTTTGTGTACATTTAGCTTTTTGTATGGTCCAGCTGACAGCTCCTCATTTGATGTTGTCTTGTTCATTCCTAGCAGATAGATTGCAATCCGTTGATTCGCCTAAGCTTTTCTCCCGCTTTGTCCCTTAATTCCACTTTCTCTTTCCTTCTCCCACCTCCCATCCTATAATCTCCCACTTAAGGTAGCTGCCTTCATTTCTTAGAGGGAGCTGCAGAATTATTTTATAAAACTAAAGAAAGAATTTCAAGGGATTCTAGGGGTCATTAGGATCCTCACAGATTATTTTTGGTTGGGGAGTTGAAACATTTTAAAGGCATATAATTCTAGTTACCTGTGTCTGTTAGCCTTGTGCATTTATTTTTTTATTTATCCTTCTTTTGGCCTTTTCTTTGTACCCCTTTCTTTTCCTCCTTGTTTGGTAGATGCTTCAAATATTCTTTTCCTTTACTAAAGGATTTGTTTCCATTTGTGTAATTGGCTGTGTACTTTTATTTTCTAAAAAAGTTTTTGGTTAGGGATTTGGTTTTTGGTTTTGTGTTTGTTTTTTCTTTCTTCTCTCAGAAAAAAAAAATTTCATGCTTTAAATAAAATCCAAAGACACACCCTTTCACTGCTGATGCAGAAAAAAGGGAAAGGGTTCTTGTTACTTGAGAATTTGTTTCTGATTTAAACAAACAAGACTTAGTTTAATAAAAGAAAGAGAAAAACAAAAGATTCCCAGGTTGTTATGTGCTTCTTCTGCAAGCAGAGAGGCAACTGTTAATGACAATTCCATATACCAAAAGACACATTTTTTACTTCAAAGTTTTGTCCTTGTGTTAGGCAGTCTGAGCGGCGAGTGATCCGGAGCGCAGCCAACAAAGCAGCAGATAGCAATGTACAGAAAGCAAAAAAGGAACCGTATGTGAGGCACTTGTTTATGTTAATATCCATATTCCTGTAACACACACCCTTTCTCATGTAAAAAATAAAATAAACGGTCTGAACTTTGAAAACTTTGTGCTGCTAAAACATAGATTTTGGAGACAAATAGATGCTTTGCTGTTTCACTTTCATAGCTAAACATCAACAGAAACCATCTCCCCTTGCCCCCAAAGTGTGAAAACCTTCTCCCCTTCGTTTTCTTCCTTATGTTTCAAAAGGGAACTTTGAAGACTGTGAATGCAGGTTCCATTGGTCACCTTTCGGGCTTCTTTCCCCAGTGCTGAAGCCACTCATCGACTTTGCAAAAGACTGGAGCATTCCAAGATCTGAAAATGGATTTTTTTCTTTTTTTCTTTTTTAGCCGGGACTATTTTATTTTTATGAATTTTAGTTTAATGAAATAGTAGATCCTGAAATGTTGTACATATTTCTAACTAGGCTGATGCACAGTGCAAATTCCTTTTTTAACTTTTTTTTTAAGTAGAAATACTAAAGAATACCATCTAACTATTCATACCAGTATCCAGTTGTAGCATAAGGTGTCAAAAGCAAGTACGCAAAACATTTACTGTTTTAACAAGCTATTTCCTTTTAACAAGAAATCTTGTATTTCTCCCTGTGTTTGAGATGAACATTTTTAAATTTTAAAGTTGTACAGTTTTTTGTTTTCCATTATTTTATCTTGTTTGTAACTCTATGAAATATATATATATTTTTTGCCATTTAACTGTTGTATGTTACTCTGTGTCTGTACCATATAGAAAAAAAATTGTTTTTGTTTTTGGTTCTCTATGTGATATCAGTTAACAATTTAACACTAGCTTTACCTGTCAAATTCTGCTAGGTCTTCTCTGAAAACGTTGTTTTTAAAAATGATACTGCTTGGTAATAGTGCAATTTCTATCCCTTTCCCTCCCCCGTCAACTTTAAGTTCTTTTCTTTATAATTTTGCTGCCCCCTCCCTGATGGTTTGGGTTTTGGTTTTTTTGGAGCTACTATGCCATCCTCCCTCTGTGAGGCAGAGTGACTGTCAGTGTTTTGTTACGCCATGCCTTGAGCTGTGGGTGTGTCTGGCGACAATAAGGTGGTTGAATAGATTGGCTGAGTACGCTTCCACCCACCTAGTGGTATCAGAGGGGTTATGTGATTGTTTCAACCTGGAGTGGGTTGCACCCTTAATGCTTTCCTCTACAACTAAACCGCCCACATATATGTTCATTGAAAAAAGAAAGAATAATTCTCAGCACTAACCCAGAAGTAGCAAAGCAGTCAGTGATGGTGAACATTAGAGGTCAAACATGAGTTAGATGTTTGTGGGCTGACAGCCACCGTGGCTATGACCAGTACTATTTACAAAGCATGAATTCACTACAATGCTCAACTGTTTAGCTTGATCTCACTTGGGGAATTTATTCCTGTCTGCTGCATTGTAGGTAGCTGGGTAGGATATATTTCCACTTGCTTTTTAAATTAGTTCTTCACCTCCATTGACACTTCGTTTTTTGGTTTTCTCCCTATAGTATGGGTTGGTGCTAGACACCAGTCTGTCATAGCACCATACTGACTCAACGGAATGGGAGTTATTTTATCCATCTTTCCTCCATCCTTCCAAAAACCACACATCTACATGAGGAAAAGTTTAATACATCTAGGAATTTTTTTTTAATTAAAAGCTATTTAAAGAGATGAATGTGGCCAAAGTTTTACACAATTGAAAATAAAGTAAAACAGATGGCATGTGTTTAAACCTGAGTTTATCAGGCATGGCAGGAAGTTGCAGGAGAGAGAGGCAGTGACCCAAGCCAGTGCACTTGATGTTCATGGACATATATTTTTTTTAAATAATAAATTAAAACATTTTAAATAGAAGCATAAATTGAGTTGGTGGTTTGTTGGCGCTGAGATACTGCCCACTGTGAAACAAAGCTTTGACTAGTTTTTTGTTTGTTTGTTTACTTTCTTCAGGGGGGAGGGGGGCAAGTTTGGGTAGGAAAGAAAGCATAAATGAACGTGACCCTGAGGTGAAGAGGTATATGAACAGCCTTTGCAATGTACAAAAAGAAAAAAAAAACAAAAAACAAAAAAAAAATAGAGCAAGTGAAACCAAAAATGATGTTCTTGGTGTTTTTCTATAATGTAGTCTTGTTAGCTTTTTTGTTACTGTAACAATGCTGATCTCGAACTGTACCAAAATACATGGAGACTAACAAACAGAACCACATGGAACTTTCAAACTGAAAAAAAAAATTTGTCACGAAAACTTTGTTGTCATAGTTAAGTTGATTGTAGATGGTAATTGAATATACTCCTTTGAAAATATTTCATCAAGTATGTTTCCTGCTCATTGTGATACATTAAAAAAAAATATGAGCAAAAGTTCCTGTCTCTGTTACCAGATTTGTGCACATGCATGTGTGTGTGCAGGAAAGAGAGGTTGATGGCTGGCAAAGTATAAATGTGAATACCTTGAGGTTGTGTGTGCAGGGAGTACTTATCCCAAGGTACCAAAGGATGTACACAAGCTCTTTAGTGTTTCTAAAGATGGTTGTATTTCCCATCTCCTGGGGCTCATGAATGTCAGAAATTTGGGCCATGACGCTGTCTGTGTTACTTCATTGGGAGGGGTAAGCCTGATAACTTGAATGATATTTGGCCCCAGAGTGCCCTAATAGCAACTAGATTTTTAATTCAAATATTTATATGAAAATTTTTTACGCTTGACACAATAGCAGGCAAAAAAAGTTTTACTGATAGCCAGGAGAAAGGTAGGTTCAACTTTTTTGAAATGGGAATTGGATCTAGTGTTTATGACAGAAGGATATGAACGGTAAGTTGAACTAAGTGGATGACCGACTACATTTACCTGTCCTAGCAAAGGACTTTTCCAAACCTCTGTTAGAGCAGAATCTCTCTTGAGAGGTCCAGTCTGCATAACAGCAGTATCAGTAATGTCTGCATACAAGAGATGATTCAGTCCTCTTACCAAAAACCCTCCCCTACCACAGCAAATGCTTGAACTTCATTAATAAGGAGTGCCTTTAAGATCAGGCCTGAAGGCCTTCCATTCATCTCTAATTTATAGCCACAGCTAATAAATGATTTACAAAACTTTAGCGGGTGGGCCTGGATGACATTAAAGACTGGCTATGTCACTGTAAGGTCTACAGCATCTGCCCTCTGTCAAAAGAAGTATTTTCTTCCCCAGGAGTTGAGCTACAAAATCCTCTTCTATTGGCTCAGACAGCCATTTTTCTTAGTTTCTGCAGCAGGCATTCAAAAAGTAGTGACCCTATTAACTCAAAATTTCAAAGAATTCTACAACTGACACAGGTATTACTAGTGCTCAGGGAGCAAAGGTGGTTCCCTGGCCAGCGCTGGAACCTCTACGCCAAATAGGTAGTGTCACTGTCCCTAATGAAATCCAATCTCTCCCCAAGCGTTGTACCTTTCTTTTCGGTGTTCCTGCAGAAGTGGATGGCTTCGATCTCGGTATGTTTTCTTGGCACCCAGTTAATGTTTCTGATCTCTCTTCCACCCTTTGAAAAGGTACAGTAGGATAAAACTTGTTCAGACCCAAAGCCACGTCTGCCTTTCTAAACTATAATTATTTTAGGATCTGGCAGGATTGCATTGAAACATTTTAAATGGAACTGGTTTTGCAGAGAGGTTTTGCTGCTTCAGCTCTTTGGAGGAAGGTGACTACAATTCAAATTCTCCTATGGATAAATTTCTAACAAGAAAATAAGACAAAACTTTATTGATGGTTGAGCCCTTTGTATCAGAGAATCTCTGAGCACCTAAATTACACTAAGGAAGGGCTGGGTAAGAGACCTGAAACTCTTTCTGTTACTGGAAAGGCTATTTTTCTTAAGGGAAAAGAAGTCCTCCAATCTGGCTTCAATATCATCCTCATGTGGATGAATTAATGGCTTTCTCTCCCTTGGAAAATGAAATGGCAACATCTGAAAATGGCAGATATGTGTTAGGTAGCTGTTTCTAATTCTGCTTTAAAGAAATGTCTGTAGTCCCTAACCCCTGTTATAGACTAATGACCTTCCAAATCTTACTTTTAACAAGTTTAGACTTTAAGTTACAAGAGCACAAGCAGTTTAAGAGTCAAGTTAAAAGGATGAGAATTTTGCACCTGCTGCTCTACTCTGCAGCCTTAATTATAGCAGGACAGATGTGCTCACTCAGCCTCTGTACATTACTGCTGGGGATGAAACAGCCAAGGTTCTGGAAAAACTTGCAAAGAAATCAGTGCTCTCAGAAACAGTAAGGTAGAAGCAGCTTTCCATTCCTGTCTTTATGATGAAGGTCGGTATTTTCCCTCCCTCCTTCCTGTTTCATTCTTTTTTTAAACTAGAGGCATCTGTTTTTAGGATGTCCTAGTCAGTAAGCTTGGGTTCCTCTGAATCTGTCTTCTTGACTTTTTAAATTATAAGCAACATAAATAAATTTGCTTTTGATCCTTTATGTATGTTTACTTATTCTATGTGGAAGAGATGAACAAAGAGGCTATTTAATTCAACTTTTCAATCCCTTAGTAACATGGGAATGAAAAATCTCAGATGAACTGTTTTGCTTTTGGGCCAAGATCCCTTGGCCTGAGAAGTGAGTGCTGAGAAGCAACTAATAGTAACAATGGAGAAAGGCATCGGTGGCTATTCTCTACCTCTGCAATATTCACAGCTTTTATTTTTTTTAACATCATTCTTCCTTGCCTTCCTACTCAATACTCTCCTAAGCCCCCTCACACATTGCTGCTCTTTTAATTCCTGTGTATGCCTTATATTTGCATAACACTTGTAAAAATATTTTGTAAAATTACATACTTCTTGTTTGTTCCTGAAATGTTCTGTAAGGTAGACAAGGTGGGTGACATTTATCCCCAGTATTCAGGACAGTGAGGTAATGAGGGGAGAAGGCACTAACCAGGTATTTAGCCTTCATCCAGTGCTCTTCCCCCATCACACTATTTCTTGAGAGACTACAGAAGAGTGAGAGTGGGGGCTCCAGAGTCAGACTCATAGGGTTCAAATTCTGGCTCCATCATGGTGACCTTTGATGAGTTCTTTATTCCCACTGTGAAATGAGGGTGACGGTACCTGCTTCATAGGGTTGTTGTGAATTTTAAATAAACTAATATACGTAAAATGCTTAGGACACTGCCTGGTACATACTAAGTGCTAAAAATTAGTTGTTACTATCAGTCATTATGACCTCTCCATGTCTCCTTTCTGTAGACCCCTTGGAACTGCTGCTTTCTAACCCTGGCTTTCCTTCACAGAGGTTTGGGAACTGCAGCTGTAAAGTTAAGTGCCATCAAGCCTCTGTCATCGTTTATTTCTGATATTTTCCTGTCTGTACATATCTCAGAGGGTGCAGAGATCCTTTAGGAGGTTTCTGCTTACGAGCTGTACAGGAGTATGGTATAGGAGTTTGGATTATAGTATTTCAGTGCCCACCATGTAGTAATTAATTTGGACATGAGGAAAAGATGGCTTGTAGTTTGCTTTTGTTTCCAAGACTATATATGTCTGTTTCACCATGCCTTGAAAGATGAGCCACTTAGATGTACGGGGTTACAGAATAGGGAAAATAGAATACGCTGTGACAGTTTGCCCACTGCCTGATTTGAGGTGGTTCAGATGTGCAAGTTGAGAGGTGTAGCATCTGAAATGAGACTCCGCATGAATTGTAGGTGAAACAAAATTGAAAGGGGAATACGTGCAAAAGAATGCAGCAAGAGGATCTCTTCACCCCTAGACCCAGGAAGAGGTTTTAAAAATACTATTATTGGAGTAAGCTGCAAAATAAATATTTAAAAGATGCACGGGGAAAATATGGGTAAAAACTAAATCAGCACAGAGAAAAGACTTAGAGTGTTTCTACAATAGCCTCTGCAGGTAAGAACTCATCAGGTTTTAGCATACAGGCTTTAGGAGGCTATTGCCCTATATGTGAACTTTGTCTATTTTTAATCAGAACAATGATGGCCTTAGAAATAAAGTTGCCAATATTGATATCAGAGGGCTAGTAGAGGCCTCTTTATTAGAGAATGACTGGTGGGTGATTTTTCTTTTTCTCTGAGGATAACAACCCATAAATGTAGCTTTGTCATACTACCTCTAGATAGGACATTATCATACAGTGTCTTCATTTGTTACATGGTTGTAAGTTTGACACTGTTTGAATAGTTAGCAAAGTGTGATTTGTATTCAGCTTAATTTATCTTTTTTTCTTTTTCTTTGAGTACTTTAAAGGTAATGCTCCACTGGTGCCTCATTTGCATGGTTTCCAATAACAAATCTGCTGTCATCCTTATTTTTTATGTATTTTTTTCTCTAGTTGCTTTTAATTTTCTCTTTATCACTGATTTTATCACATCACAATTTCATTATGATGTGCTTTGGTGTAGTTTCATTCACGTTTCTTGTGCTTATGGTTTGCTGAGTTCTTAGATCTGTGGGGAATTACTTTTCATCCAAATTGGAAGTTTTTCAGTCTTTATTTCTTCAAACACATTTTGCCTGCCCCTTCTCCCTTCACTTTCCCTGCTACCACCCCCACCCCGCCCCCACAGGGATGCCAATTATATAGGTATTAGGCCACTTGAAGTTAACCCCTTACTTACTGATGCTCTAAGTTTCTCATTTGTTTGTTTGCTTTCTTATTTTGTTTGCTTACTCTTTTCTCTGTGTGTTTCCTTTTGGATAGTTTCCAATGCTATGCCTTCAGGTCCACTAATATTTTCTTCTAATCTGCCATTAATCCCATCCAGTGTATTTTTTCACCTCAGATATTAAAGCTTTTAACTTTAGAAGTTTAATTTGGGTCTTTCAAAATATCTTTCATGCCTCTCCTTAAATTTTGAACACATGAAAAAACAGTTACAATAATTGTTTACCATCATCCTCTGCTAATTCTAACATCTGTGTAAGTTCTGGATCAGTTTCAGTTGATGGTTCTCATTAAGGCTATTATTTTTCTGCCTGTTTGTATGCCTGCCGATCTTTGATTGGCTACTAGACATTGTAAATTTTACCTTTTTGGGTCCTGGATATTTCTGTATTCCTATAAATTTCCTTAAGCTTTGTTCTGGGATGCACTTATTTGGAAATACTGTGATCCCTTTGGGTCTTGTTTTTGTTTTGAGCAGGACCAGAGCACTATTCACTCTAGAGCTAATTATCCACCACTACTGAAGAATGATCATGCTGATGCTCTACTCGTATGTCCCATAAACTGTTCCCCATCTTGTATGAGCATCAAGTACTGTTCCCTTTTTGCTTTTGGCTGGTTCTTTCCAGGGCCAAAAGTAATTGGTACTTTTCTGAATACTTATGAGGGACCCCATGAAGATCTCCAGGTT